CTCAGAATAAAACTATCGTTCCAGAGATCGCGTCTTTCTCTTCTTTACAACAAGAACCTGCGGCACGTATTTTCGCTTCCATTTATCAACTATTTCCTGTTGTCGTTTACCTCATTTTTACCCTCCCTCTTGCTCCCCCCCATAATGTCCAACTCCTATTACCATCGGTCCTATACTAAAGAATTCTGGCATTCCGGTTTCCATAATGTTACATATATTAGATTGTTACCAAAACTGACTAACAGAAGCAAAGGACTTACGTCAAAGGTGTCCCGCAGACGGTAAACAGGTGCACTCAACACGGCCGCACGCGCCTCCTGGATGCCCTGGAAGTTGTTGAGAGCGTCAAACAACAGAAGAAGATCAGCGACGCGCTGGAGGACAATAACTCGGTCTTCCATGGACTCGTGTGACATTATGTTGAGTACAAGCCAGCGTTGAAACTGCAGAAAAAAGGAATACGTATAAGAACACATTATGTCGTCTAACTGACGGCGTACCACAGAGCTGCCAGTACCCACTATGCAGGTGTGCTAGCGCTCTCCGAAAAGTACCAATGCATGCCTACGTTGTTCTAAATGTCTGCATGTTTTAAATGTCAGCATTTACTTTAGGCAAACTAGTTTCTATTTGTTGTCAAGACGTGACAGTTAGCAGACGTTTTAGAGCGTGAATGGGCCCCCACTCTCTTTAGATAATACAACCTTTTGCACGATGAGCAGACGAGAAGTTAGTGAATTTTAGAAAACGCAAAATGTTGTCGTACTTCATTAACAAGCCTTCCGCAATTGAAGTTTGCCAACTAGACTCATAGTATACCTAAGCTTCCACTAAATTGGGTCTGTGGACCAGCAAAAAGGGTGATGCATATTACAGATAGTTTTATAACCGAGTGTGTTCCTGTATCAACACCGTCTATGTCCCCCAGTTACGTGTTAGGAAGAGAAGACAGGACAGGATAGCAGATAGTACTTTACTGTCAGTTCTACTAGTACATCAGCTTTGTCTTCTGTGTGTCCAGCAGCTTGCGTTCTGTCATCGCCTCGGCCAACAGCGTTTTGTGTCTCTAGCAGCCGTGTCCCGAGTCGCTAACAGCAGAATCCCCCTTCGGCTCGTAAGCTCGCTATTTAAGGGGTAGTTGTTATTGCTCCCCATTGGCTCCCCACCAGTGGCCGTGCGCGCATGTGTCCTCAGTGTGACCTCCCGATAGCAGCAACCTGGCTCCGGGGCAGTCTCGCTTACGCGTGCCTCCTTTGTCCTGGCTTAATGCCCGCCCTTTGAAGGTCGCTTGAAACTGCATGAACCGGTCGCCAGTAAGGTCCAGTTGTTCTGGTACCCTCAGGATTGCCCATATGACAACTCGCGTCCAGGCCGTCCCTACAGATAGCATTCCGTTTTACTAGTTGATTTCCATGTGATCCGTCACGCCCACAAGGCAGGTCGTACTGGCATTTCCAGTCTTTCCAAAAAAATTGTCACTACAACCAATGACTGCCGACCACACAAAATTGACCTGTTATTGCCCGATCGACGCTTATGTACGTAGGGTTCGGGAAGAGTAGATGAGCTGGTTGGTCGGTATGTACGACTACTTTAAAGGTGAAATGTGGTCGATGGGACTGCGAGTTTAATGCTCTGATAGTTTGAAGACACCTTCGTCACTCTCGCTTTATCGCGAGCTACATCTTGTAAAGATCTTCTACTACGTCGAGTACGTAGTCTGGATAAAACTAACTAAACGTAGAACAAGCATGATGCTTGAAAAAAACAGTCTTATTGTCGTGAAAGCAGAAAAAATAGAATATGGAAAGGGGTCAAACTGACAAGCCGTAGAAACTTACCGTCCACTGCTGCAAAATATTTACCTAGGAAGAACGTGCTTTTATCTGATAGCAAGGCATAGAAAGTGTACACGACGGTGGTGATCATTTAAGCAAGACGAATAAATTGGCAAAAAAATATTGCGGGGTTCCAATACAAGAATAGTGAACAAGGAGGGGCCGGGAGCGTGGTGGAGATCCCTGCAGACCGACAGCAGAAATAGTACTTGCGGCCAGGCAGGCATTGATGTGGTTTATTTGGTGTACTGAAATAGTTAATAGCTCCAAACACTCGAAGGGCATGTGGACCCAGGTCAACAGCATCCATCTACGGATTCAAGCTGACTCTCAATGGTTGCCATCAGTAGTGCAACGTCCATTTGATAGTATAACCCTATGTCTGCCATGTTTCACAGGTTTCAGTGCTCACAGAGGAAAAGTTATCCTGAGGGCGTGCTGGCAGAGGCGACATCACTGCACACAAATGGGGCAACCGGGGGAAAATCCGGGTTGGCTGAAAATGCGCGAGGCAGCGAGGTTTGCCACCCCCATACAGCAGTCATCAGTCGTCAGAAATTTAGCTGAATCAGTTAACACTACTCAAAGTCGCCAGTGGCAGTCCGATTAATACAAATAAAGGAGTGAAGGGGAGGAAGAAGGATATATATATATGTGTGTGTGTAATTTTACCTTATTTGAGAACTCTAGGGAGTTTTTGAGGTTGGGTCCATTGCTCTTATCCTTGCCGTTCACCTCCCAGAACTCGATTTTGGAGTAGAGCTCCCATTCATGCAGGGTGACCTGTCGAGCCAACTCTAAGGGATGTACCTGTAGGAAGGGCAGGCAAGAGGTCATATGACAGGATTGTCGGCTTAAAAAAGTACAGTGCCGCGGCATACTACTTTCGTGGTATCAGTAAATCTTTTCGTTTACCTTGCATTCGACTCTGCTGAAAATGTCGTTGAGCAAAGGCACTGGACGAGTTATCCGCTTTTAGTTCGCAAATGCCGCACTTTTTGAATATTTGTATTTCATGATTAGAGTTACGCATTCTGCAGACTAAGAGGACCTGTAAAAATATTGCAACTAGTCTACTTTTCATGCATACTTGTACCATACAAATGAAGTTTTTAAGAGCTTCAGTCATTTACTCTAAATATAGAAGATTAATGCTGATGGACTATATTATACTGCTTCAGGTAAATGTACAGTAAAACATGGAAACCCGGTGATCTAAATCCAGACTATTCAATTAATTGGGTCCTTGTACACAACGATTAAGCTAATTTGGCAAGGGAACACTGAACATTCCTGACTCAAAGTCGACACCTGTCAGTGCGAAAGCCATTTTTTTCGGCTAACTATCGTAGATCGCATTGGCGTCTTCACTGCAAGACAAAATTAAGCTACGATAGAAAAGCTGGCTAAACCAATCTTAATGATCTCGAAAAACGGTTTTTGAGCCAACAGATAGCGAAAACTGCAAAGCAGCGGAGGGGTAAGGAGGAGGTCATGTAATTGCATTACACAATTCCAGGTAAATATGCTATAGGCATGGGAATTAAAGGAACACGATAACCGCATTCCAGATGAGCAATGGGGGGAGAGTAGCTTGGATCTGGAGTATACTAAGAATAGGTCAGCGCTTTGTGTAGACTAAAAATGGTAAGTCTAAAAATTAAAATATGCGTGTCCCATAAAAAAAGTAGAAAATGTGATCCTTAGGGTTTAATTATGAGCAGCTTCCTCGCACGCGGCTTAAATACATGTATAATTGCCTAGGTCTCACTAAGTACACCCCTCCTCAATATCAAAT